ACCTCACCAATCCCTCAGGCTCCTGTTGGGTTTCTATCCTCTCTGTACCTCAAAACTGTGCGAGACCTCTTCCCTCTCGTGAGAAGATGTAACCCCACCTATACTTCACCCCCTTGAGAGACCTCTGGGATGAGCGTCAAGGGAAAAGACAGCCTGTCTGTCTCATGTCAACCCTCTCTGTCTGCCCAGAGGAAGGAGCACCTGGGCACACACAGGCAAGCCCAATCTGCTCCCCACATCCATGAGGGTCTGCAGGCCTGAATCCTTGATGTTGTCTTGGCCCTTCCCCTCTCCGCCGTGCCCACCCCCGGCCTTGCTAACGCCCTGAGGCCTCGCCTCCTGCTCACTCTTGCCTAGGCCCCCACTGCTCTGCCTGGCCCAGACCCCTCCCTGCAGGCTCCAGGCACAGCTTCCTATGCGTATGCTTCCCTCCGGCCCCATCTCGCTTCCCCCATGCCTTACCTGGGTGACCCATTCTGATTTCAGCTTCCTAAGCCGCTGCGCAGCCTCCTCAGACCCTGCGGTAAAACCTCCACTGAGCCCCTCTCGGACCACTTTACCCACTTGATCTGCCGTTCAGTGTCCTTCTGGTCTGGTCTGCACCTTCCTAACCTAACAGTCTTGCTGGTGAGAGCCACCGCCACTTCCCCCGCTGCACTGACAGGATGTCCTCTCCCTACCATCCCCTTGCTGAGTCTTGCTCATCCCCTAAAGCTCATCTCCTGGAAAACTCTCCTCCTGCATTGGCCTGGCATTTGCAAGTGCCTCTGAAGTGGGGCTTGGGCGCTCACCTCCTTGTCCCCGCATAGCCTCAGCCAGGTGAAGCACACAGGAGGTGCTGCTACTGTCATGGGCCAGCACTGACAGGGGCCTCTGATGTGGGCAGGTCTGGGAAAAACAGTCTGAGTCACCTTCGCAGCTACCAGGGAGAAGAAAGTCCCCTACAAGGGAGACCCCAGGGGTCCAGTGCCACACAAGGGTTTACCGCCCACTGCTGGGCCTGAAGCTGGAAAGCACGAGAGGGTGTGCCCTGGAGAGCAGAATGGAAGGGTAGGTCCCCAGACCAGTTTCCCTGCTGCTTCCTGATGCCTCAGAGGGCTTTGGCCCTGGCCTACTCTAGCCTCTGTGCTCTGGGGGGAGGTGGGGCGGGGCTTCGTCTCTGGCGCCTCGAGCCTGCCTAGGGCCGGTCCCTCTGGCCAGATCTCCTGCATTCTGAGTCTCCTCCACCCAGGGCCAGGCCTGGCCTGACCTGTAAGGCCTGCACATACTTTAGTCAGTAGAAGTTCGCACAGCAGTTTCTTGACCCAGGTATGGCCACGGTGGAAGTGGGGGTAGGGCAGGGAGTGGAGGGAGTGGGTTTGTAGGAAAGGAACACTGTACTTTAAACCGCCTTCTTGCCCCTTCCCATTCACTGGGCTGCTGCCTAATAGCAGGGCTCTCATGCACGCCAGCTTTGCTCACCCTCTTTCTCAATGCTCATCCACCCACCCAGGCCTGGCAAGTGGCACCAGTGACCTCTAAGGGCTCAGCCCCAGGCAAAACAAATGGTTCCCAGGCATTGGGATGTGAGCCTGGACCTGAGCCTGGTGGGATAGAGAGGCAGGTGAAGCATAGGGACTGCTTCCAGGAGCGCCAGTGCTGGCTGGAGAGAGGTGGCAGCCAGAGAGGATTTCAGAGGGGACAGGGCATGGGGGAGGGGCAGGCAGGGAGGACTCCTTGGAGGGGGCGGGGCAGGAGCCTGGCCTTGCAGGATCAGTGGGGCAGGGAATAACGTGAAGGAAGGTGTAGAGAGAATGCTGAGGGCGTGCCTCAGGATCTCCCCAGCCAGCTCACAATAGGTGTCCATACCTTAGGGCCTGGTGGTCCTCAGTGTGTTCAGTCCCCTGAAGGCTGGCGGGAGGCAGCCTTGGGGTGCCTCAAAGGGTACTGTGAGGGTCACATCCAGAAGGTGGCTATCACAGTTACCTGAGGCAAGAAGAAAACTATTTTGAGTTTTACTCTGGGTCACATGTTGTTCTAGAATCTAGATACATAGGGGTGTTACCGGGTTATTTCATGTCATCTGCCAGTGGCACGGTGGATTAAGTACACCTCATTTTACAGATAAGGACCAGAGACAGAAGGGACTTACTTAAATCCACACAGCCGGTAAGGGGCGAAGTTAATTTGGAATCCACTCTTCCACTCTGTCTCATTTTAGGACAAGGGCAAAGGCTGGAGTGCTTATATTTAATGATCAGTCACCCTCAGGGGCGGCCATTCTGGAAACAGAGAACAAGGTCTGAGTAATGCAGGCTGCATGGGTGGGGCCTCTGCCAGGTCTCTGCTCCCCTGTTCGGTGTGTGGTCCACAGGGGCTTTGCTCCCTGGATGCCTCCCTCTTCTTTTCTTCCTCAACAAGAATTCCCAGACTTGCTGCCAGGGTTTGCTCTGGGTCTGTACCACAGGCCCATAATACCTTCCAAAGGGAGGAGATGTGACCTGTGAAGTATCTGGGCAGCTGGTGGGTCTGCGGGGAGTAAGAGTGCCAGGCAGGGAGGCAGGTGCCCTACTGGCTTCTAGCCGCATCTGTGCTTCAAACAGGCTGCGCAGCCTAGGCAGAAGAGGCTATCTTTCTAGGCCTCCCCATTAATAACATAAATCTGGAACTGCGTAACTTCTCCAGCCTGGTGGAGTTGAGAGGCGGGGCTTATGGAGACTTGAGGTAGAGTTGCTGCGGCAGGCGCAGGAGAGGCGGGGAAGACCCCTCCCACCCTCAAAACTGGGCTTTTGGAACTCTGCTGCCCCTAGTGGTGGCATGGAGTAACAGAGACAGGGTCTCAGGGCGAACAACATGCTGGTCATCTCCCTGCCTCCCCCAGACAGTGGCCTTTACCTGTGACGGCCTGCCTCAGGGCTGCATGGGTTCTGGGTGAAAGAAAGGCAGTCACAGCCTATATGTAAGATACTCACAACTGTGCCCAGGCTTGCATGGGTTATTCGCTCATGTATTCATTCTGCAAGTGGTGGGAGGGTCTGTAGTTTGCAAGGGGATCTAAAGGCCCTTGGCACACCATTTCTGCCCTCAGACAGCCTCTGTCCGGTGGGAGGGCAGACAAGGAAATCACAGACTCTGGAGAAAATAGGAGAACGTGGAGGCTGCTCCAAGGTGTGATATTGTAACACTTGGGAAGCACAGGGCCAGAAACTGTGGGGCCCTGTCTGACTGATTGTTGGTTTGTTCTGGGCACACAGGCCTCCAGCCTGACGGGCTTATAGGCCTTTGCCACGAGGTCAGCGGAGGCTCTCCCTGCAGACGCTTCCAGGAGAGGTGGGTCACCCTCTGCATGGGGTGGCTGGATTTCTACCAGTGCCTCCTGTTCCCCTGGCTGGGAGCGGGACTGAGGGGGACAGCTGACCTTGCCTCATCCCTGCAGCCCCTTCTGTCTGTACCCTTCCTCCTCAGGTCTGGGAGCCTGGGTTCCAAACATGATGGGGAACATTAAATGTCAGCTGCATCTCCCCCTGATGATGATGCAGGCTGATGCTCTGCAGGCCTCCCAGCTCCAACAACACGGTGTGGGCAGGTGATGGGAAGCTTAATTGCCACCCCACCAGAGCCCTGCCCCTGGACTTCAGGGGCTCTGCAGCCTGTGGGGGGCAGTGTACAGAGAAGGTGGGAGAGGGAGCGAGGATGTGTGAGAGAGAGGCCTAGGACAAGAAGCCTGGGTGAGTCATATTGCTGGGGAAGTAGATGCATCTGACTCAGTGGGAACATCCGGCAGGAAAGGAGGGGAGAGAGCAGTGGCATTTCCAAGCAGGATGGGAACTCTGGGGCTGCAGAGATGGGGTGTAGGGTCAGGGGCGCTGTGTGAAGGCCTGGCCAGGAAAGAGACTAAATGTGGTGAGGAGGGGAGAGTGGACAGGAAGAGGCGGTTCAAGGGGAGCAGAGGTTGGGTCTCTGGCTGGTCTGGGGAAGACGGAGAGGGCAGTGGGGCTTTCTGCTCTGGAGACAGAAAGGGACAAGTTATGCCATGAGATTAGGGAAACTGAGGCCTGGTCAATCATGGAGGTAGGGAATGCAGGGGCCTCTGACACCCTCAGGGTCCACAGGTGAGGGCCCTGTAACTACTGAACGAGACCCCGGACGCTCCTGGCACAGACACACCACCCCTCTTCCCAGTACCCCATGCCCAGGTCCCAGAGGCTCTCAGGGCGGGACGGCCAGGTAAGCTGCTCCCCCAGGCAGAGGGGCCAGCCTCAGCTGTACAGGGAAAGTTTCGCGAGGGACCTTCCCAGGAAAGTCTGCTTCTGTTCTCTGGGCTGGAGTGGGGGAAAGGGCCAGCCCTAGAGAGTAAGGCCAAGGAAGGGCCCAGAGGCGAGGAGCCTGAGGAGGGGAGGCTGGGGGCCGGCTGTGAGCTGTGGTGTCAAAGGTCCTTCACCCCATTACCAAAGAAAGGCACGAACAGCTGAGCCTCTAAAGTACAGGGGTGGTTGTACTTTAAAATACAGGAAAGACAACATTCAACCTAAAGGAATGAATGACTAATGGTGTTATTTTAGGTATGAGGTAGTATTTGGTAGCATAGGGGAGGTGAGCTTCTTGATCTCTTCAAATGATTTTAACTAGGGCTGGTGAGGAGAGTGAGGGGAGGCTTGTTTGAGGCGGGGGCCCCCGGGCTAGGGAGCCGGATGGACTGGGTCCTGTAGGCCTTTCTCTACTCCTGGGAGGGGCGAAGGCCTACGTGGGCCGTCCATCTGTGTGCCGGCAGGCCCAGGCTGGGGCGCGGGGCCTGGGGGAAAGCAGGGCCTGGGGCCGCAGGTCCCCTGTGTAGGCTCAACCTGCCAGGGAGAGGTCCCTGTTGGTCTGCCTAGGGACACTGGGGCAGGGCAGGGAGAGGTGCTGGGCAGGGCCAGCTGGCTGCCAGTGCCCTGGTCCTCGCCCTCTGAGAGTGGATGGGTGGGGGCAGTGGCCAAGGCGTTCCTGGCTGGGAGCCCAGAGGAGTCTTTTGTAATCACAACATGATCTCGTGTGCTGAGCAGCGAAGCCGGCAGGGAGAGGCCGGCAGAGGCCTGGCTCCGGTGGCTCCCGTGTCCCTCCTGCGTTCGCTCCCCCAGGGCTGCTCTGGAATTCTCTTCGCGCCCGCTGTTGCCATGCACTCAGCTGTGAGTGGCACCTCACCCTCGGAGGGCTTCTTAGGGCTGGGAGAGGGTTGGGACACCGGGAAGCCATACTCTGGGAGCAGCTGGGGACAGCTGGGCCTGGGAGGAAGAGGGCTGTGCCTAGGCAGGCGGGGGGGGGGGGGGGGCTGGGCAGGGGCATGGGTGATAAAGGAGATCCTGCGGGCAGAGAGGGAGGGACCTGGGCCTCCCTGGAGCTGGCTGTCTCCTGTGCCTCGCTGCCAGCAGCTCACGGCCCGGAGCTGCTGGGCCCCTGGGAGTGGCTCTTTCCCACAGGCTGGGCACAGGCCTGAGGAGTGGGGTCTGGGGCCTGGGAGTTCAGGACAGATCAGGGGCCTCTCTTCTTACTGTGGTTTTGGGCCTGGGAGCCAAACAGCTCCCTCCTCGACCTCCTGAATCCCCTGGCAACTTCCCAGTCACGGCAGGTTCCACTGCCAGAGCCATTTATAACTCCCATTCCAGGCTGTGCTCGGCAGTGGAGCTCCCTAGAGAGCCGGGGGAGGGGCAGCCCACTGCTGGGAGCTGTGGGCCTGGGTACGAGGCCCTGACCTGAGCCCGAGAATGCAGAGGGCTAGGCAGACAGGCCTAGTGGGGTGGGGGCTTGGGGCCTTCTGTGTGTCATCTCCTCCTGTGACCCTAGCTCTAGGTCTGGGGTCTGTTCTTCAGGTGGTAAGAACCTGGCTAGGTGGGAAGGTTGGGCCACTGGTAAGGGGTGACCCCCGCGGTCAGGAGCTTGGGCCCTCTGCAGGTGCCTCACGGGACCGAGTCCCTGATGAGCAGGCAGGAAGAGAAGGATGCCGAGCTGGACCGGAGGATAACTGCCCTTCGCAAGAAGAACCAGGCCTTACTACGCAGGTACCAGGTGAGTGGGCTGTGCCGGGGGCTGGGAGGGTTCACGGGGCTGGCGCTCCCCGCGTCACCCACAGACCCTTGTGTGCTGGCCTCTCCCTGCAGGCTCAGCCTGGGGACAGGGTGAGGGTGGGTGTGGTCCATCTCAGAGGCTCTGTGAGGGTCTGGGGGACTCCGTGGTGCGGTGTCTCTGCCCCCTGGTGTCCCACTGGTGTCTCTCTGTGTAGGCCTGTCAGCGTCTGTGTCTCTGTACTTCTGGGGGGCCGTGGCCTGTGCTGACCCCAGGCCCTCCCACAGGAGATCCAGGAAGACCGTCGGCAGGCGGAGCAGGGGGGCATGGCTGTGACCGCGCCGGAGCTCCTCCGACCCGACGGCCTCACCATCACCATCAGCCAGGTTCCCGGGGTAAGCCCCACCCGGGAGACAGGGCAGGGCGGCACGGAGGTGTCCGCCCCATGTCCGGGGGGACGACTGCCCCTGCTCCTCTGCTTCTCCCACTTACAGCTCTGGGTACTCTCCAGCTCCCGATCTCATGCAGCCCAGGTCACTGTTGTGCTCCCATCACCAAAGGGCCACAGTTGAAAGGCCAACAAATGGAAGCTTCCTCATACGCTTTTCCAGCTCTACAGCCCCGTGCATATGCCTCAAAGCATAGGCCACTCCTCAACCCCAAACCCCAGGGGTCAGAGAAATGGGGCTGAATGCTAGGAACAATGGACGAGGGACAAAGTCTCATTGTCTGAGTGCTCTGGATTTCCCAGCTCGGAGATGACGGGTCACTGTGGCATCTTGGGCCCCAGAGTGGCCCTGGGCCTGGATAACCTAATGCCACTGGCATGTGAACGTCCCCTGGAGTCAGCTTCTCTGTGGGCATTCCAGGGAGGGCCAGGGTTGGAACTGGCCTGGGGAACCACCCAAAGGACCCAGCCCCCAGCTCCTGCCCAGCCCTGCCCGCATGACCTGAGGACAGAGCACCTCATTCTGCAGGAGAAGCGGGTAGTCAGCCAGAACTGGGCAAGGAGCCCCCTTGGGCCTGGAGCAGCCAACGAGACGCTCACGGATGAGGAGCTGGAGGACCACACTGACACCTTCTGCTTAGGGGAGCGGGTGGAGCTGGCCGTGACCATGGAAAACAAAGCCGAGGTGAGCAGGGTGGGCGCGGGAGGCCCGATATCAGGTGTGTAGCCCCTTCTTCCCAGCTCTGCCACACTGCCACACTCACCGCCTCCAGGCCAAACGGATCGTCAGTGAGAAGCCCACCAGAACAAGGAGCCAGGGAGCAGAAGGGTCACCCGGCGAGGGCTTGGGCCGGAGCTCTGCCATGCAGATGGCTGCCAGCTTGGATTCTGCACGGAAGGTGTGTCTTCAAGAGGGGATGGGGACATGGATGTGGCGGTACCCATTGAGAGGCCAAGACGCTGAGTCACATATGCCCCCCATCTGTGGGGACATGCCCAGGCAGCCCCAGCAAGAATCCTTTCTTCCTCGGGCCAGCCCCCCCCCATTGGGTGGGCCTTGCCCTGAGAGACAGGGTAAGCCAGAGGTGTGATCCACCTCCACCTCCGTCCCCTACCTGGACCTCTGGTGGCTACTGGGTGGGGGCTGTGGGTGGGGCCAGGAGGGTGCAGAGGACTGGCCCTGTGCCAGGTTTGACCTCTAGGTGGCAGCAGCCCCTAGTCCTGGCTCTGCTCAGAACTGCTGGGTGCTTCTCCACTCCGGGCCTGGCCACACACCCCTGCAGCAACCCTGTGGACAGGTGCTATTATTATCCCCATTTTACAGATGAGGAAATGATACACAGAGAGGTTTAGTAACCTGTCCAAAAGACACAGCTAGCAAGTGGATGGAAACCGTGCCTATGGCAAACAGCACATTAGAGATGGAACACACCGAATTTTTATATGGGGACGGCAAAACCTTGAGAGAGGAAGGGGTTAGTAGACTCTGGATTTCCATTCCAAGCCCAGGGTTCTTTCTGCTTCTACCCCATGGTGCCAAGTGTCTTCTCCTAGCAGGGTGCTCGGGAGCCCCGGAGTCCAGGCCAGGCCCCCGGCTCAGCCGCCCACCGGCCAGCGTGGGGGCCCCTGGAGCAGGGCTGGGACTATGCCCAGTGGAAGCAGGAGCGGGAGCAGATCGACTTGGCCCGCCTCGCCCGGCACAGAGATGCACAGGGTGACTGGCGCCGCCCGTGGGACCTGGACAAGGCCAAATCCACGTGGGTGGCAGGGCTGGGAGGCGTATTGGGCAGACATGCTGTGGGGCCTGGGGTAGGGCTAACTGTGGGTGCTTCTTGGAGGCCTGGTGGCACTCTCCCCAGGGTGGTGAGGGTCTGCCTGGGCCTTCGGGTCAGGGCTCTGCGGGCACTGGGTCCCCCGTCTTTCCTGGGCCCACCGTCTCCCTGCTGCCCTCAGTTCTGGGGCTGGGGGTGGGGAAGGAGGAGTTGGTATGGATCTTGCTGCAGCCTCTGTCTGCCCTGCACCAGCGTCCTGACTGCCCTCTCTGTCCCCACAGACGGCAGGGCCCCAGCAAGCCTCGGGAAGAGGGCCCGGGCAGGGCCGGCGGCACCAGGGGTGAGCCAGCGCCCCACCTCAGACCCCTTCCCCCCTTGGCGTTTTTACCCCTTGCCCCCCTCTTCCTCTCTTTTCTCTGTCTTTTGGTTTACCCCTCATTTTCAGAGCTGGTAGGAAGCACGCCAGAAAATCTTCCTTCCTCTCCCTTGCTATCAGAGTAGGACACCATGACCTCCCTGTCCACCCTCCAAAACCGCAGCTTCTGCCCCAACTTCTGACCCCTGAACATCTGCGGAGAAGGCTCATGAGGAAGTCTGTGCTGGGGTCCCGCTGAGTCGTTGGTTCCTCGGGGGTGAAAGCCCTAGTTTCCCTGGCCTGACCCGTTGTAGGAACAGAGCTCTGCGAATTCCGGTCCTCTTATTTTACGCATGGGGAGGCTGGCATTGGAGAGGCTGGCCGGTCACTTAGCCAGGAGTGGCAGTGAGCACAGGGACCCTGCTCTCCTGATCTCCAGGCCAGGGCTCTATTAGGGGGCCAGAAAGCCCAGAACTGGACCAAGAGAAGGACCGACAGCTTCCTGGCCCTGGAAGAACTTGTGTTCCTGCTCCAAACTGGTGTTTGGTTCCTTTGCTACCACACCCTTTCCCTGTTTCCTTTGCCCTGCTTAGGTCCCAGGAGCCAGCGGAAACTACAGTCTCCACCATTGCCCCCTGACGGCAAAGGTGAGTTGGGAGAGAAGGAGGAGCAGGACCCCATGAGCTGGTGAAGGAGCTGGGCGGCTAAGGGCCTCTTCACTCGTTGATTTGTGGGCCATTTCTTGCAGGTGGCACTACTCGGGGTGGGCAATCTAGCAGAGCCTTGGTGGCACCAGCTGTATGCAGCAAAGCTCGAGGGACGGAGAGGCTGACGGGCAGGGCCCGAAGGTAACAGGTGGCAGAGGGCAAAATCAGGGAGGCACCTGGGCTTCTTGATTTGCTGGCTCTCCTTTGCCCTGGGAGTTGAGAACCCGCACTGGCCTGGTGCCTGCTCCAGCCCTCCCTGGGGCCTCTGCCTCCTGGTTGACTGCTGACTGCTGCCTGGTGGCAGGTTAATAAGATGCAGGGAGAGGCCATCAGCAGAGGCTGCGGCAGTGGCGGCAGCAGCAGCGGTAGCAGCAGCAGCAGCAGCAAGAGCTTGGTGCCCAGGGAGGCTGGTGGTAATTACAGCAGTTACCTTCCCCCGGGAAGTCAGGTGCCTTTCCCAGGCAGCGCAGGCAGGGACACGCCTGCAGTCTCCACAGAACTCAAGGTGCTGCAGGCTTGGCATAAACAGCAGCTGGGGACCTGGGATGGGGCTAAGGAGGGCAATGCTCAGAGGAAACGGCTGAATTTGGGGAGCGGGTTGGGCTGGAAGGGAAGCATCCAGGAGCCTCGTTCTGGCTCTGATGCTCCTGAACCCTGGGGAACATAGGCCACCAACTACGGTACTGGTGGCATGATGTGGGGTGGGAAGGGTGGGGCCTGCCTTGTGCTGTGTTTCTACAGGTGGGAGACAAAGGAAGATAAGGAGGAGGTGGAAAGCCCGGAGGTGGGTACTTGGACAGAGAGTGGGGAGGGCTAGGGACATGAGCCCTGGATTTGCCAGCCAGCAGGGCCAATCTCTTGTTTCAGGGAAGTCAAAGCACCAGCCAGACTCTGAACGAGAAGGAACATGCACAGACACAGAGCAGGATGGAACAGGGAAGACCCCCGAGTGCCCCGGCAACCAGCCCAGCTCCAGCATCCCCAGAGGGGCCAAAGGGGGAGTCAGGAGCTCCAACAGCCAGCCCGGCCCCTGGCGCTGCACTAACCTCTGACTTGGTCCCCCTTGACCTATCTCTAGGAGGCACCAGTAGCCCTGGGCCTGGGAAGAGCGTGGGTGTGTTCAGTCCAAGGCCTGGGGCCCAGGAGAGTCCGACGTCCTGGCCGGATGGTTCCGAGCAGCCCCTGGGGTGGAATGATTCCCGGGCTGAGCAGGAAGTCCAGACTTACTCTGAGTCACAAAAAGGGACAGGGCCCTTAGAACCCAGAAAAGATGAGTCTGGCAAGGCTGAGGCCCAGCAGGGCCTGGCACCACGAAGCAGGCCTCCCAGAGGAACTGGCCAAAGAGTGAGGGGCAGAGGAGGTGTGAGGGGCAGGACAGGGGTCCCTGGCCCCACAGGGAGATGCTGAGCAAAGCTCCGGGGAGAAGGAGGGCCAGGCTGGGGAGAGGAGGAGAGAAGAACAGAGTCAAGAGCCTTCTTTGTGAAGGGTGTCTTGTTGCTGGTGGCTTGTGGCAGTCTAGCTGAGCAGTTTGGCAAATTCTCTGGCCCGGTGACATTGTGAGGGCAGGGAGCTGTCCTTCCCTATACCTCATGTGCACACACCTTCGTGCACATGAGTGTTTTCACCTGCAGGTACAGCCCCTGGTGTATTCCCCTGCCACACCTGGTCTCTGAGGCTGGTAAGCCCTGTCTTGCTTGGGTCTACTGCTGCCTAGGCCACAAGCTTCCCCCCTACTCCTCATGGCAAGAAAGCAAGGCTGAGAAGCACTTAGCACCTGGCTCGCATTGCCTCCCTCTCCAGCTGCCAGCTCCTCCGGTGCAGGCTGCCTCAGCAGCTGGCATGACCAGCCCAGGCCTGGGTCCTTGCCCTCACCTCTGCCTTGCGCCCAGCTGACTCACAGCCCCAGACTCAGGAGGGCCGAACCAGGGGAATCCCACCAGTCAGCCAGAAGCCTTGAGGAGGCTGAAGGCCAGAGAAAGGGAGGCCACAGTTGGCAGGGGCTGAGCTGGGGCTGAAAGAGCAGAGCTAAGGCTTCCCCTGGAAAGGTCTCCTCTCTGAAAAGGGGTGAGGCTGGGTGGGGAGGAGACAGTCTCCTCTCCCTACAGTAGGTGGGAGAGCTTACCAAGAGGGAACCCTGTCCCCATGCCAGGTCAGACAGTGAGTACCCTAAATGGGGGTCAGAGAGCAGTCCTGTAGCCCAGGGTCATTTCCTGCCATCTCCTACTTCCTCTCCCCACCACCTCGCCAAACCGTGGTCAGGCAAAAGCAAGGACTCAGGCAGGCTCTGAGAGATAAGAGATAGCGACTCCAGCTAAACAGGGCATCAGGACTTGTCTTTCTACTTAAGTCTTCATTCCTGCCCCTCCTCCAAGGCCCACCGTCTGGTGAATTATCCAGACTCTGCACAAGCTGTGGTTTCTCTCAATTCAACAAACACTTCCTGAGCACCCATTACCAGCAATGCAGCCAGTGGGCGATGGGGACTTTGCCAGCAAGAGGGAGGGAAGAAACCCAGTCATTGGGCAGATCCAGGCTGCACAGGAGCTGTTCTTGCCTGTAGGTGCCCAACAGGGGCCAGGGGCTGGGAATGGTGGTAGAAGCCCAAAGGGAGCCATCCTACCTCTGCTAGCAAAGGCAGGTACCCCTCCCTTTCTCATTATGTGTACTCTCTGCCCCCAAGCCCATGCCTGGCTCTCCCCACCTGGCCCCCTCTGCTCTCCTCCTCTCCGGTCCTGCCATGGTTGCTCCTGTCTACTGAGAGTGCCTTCCTAGGTTCTCTAGGGAGTGTCCAGATTGTCCCCAGGACTTCTCCATTGATCTCCAGAGTGAAGCCTTAACCATGGGGTCGCAGCCTGAGTTTCCTCACCGGCTCTCATTCCACCCTCCTCAACTATTCAGGAAGCATGAGGAGGGGATCAGGTTGTTTAAGGGAGTGCTTCTCACATGTTAGGTGCAGAGTGATGCAGATTCTAATTCAATAGGTCTGGGGTGGACCTGAGGATATGCAATTCTACTGCTTCTCCTGGTGATGCTTATGCTGCTGGTTCCTGGACCACACATTGAGCAGTGAGGGTTTGGAGTAGCATGTGTGGAGGGCTGCGACAAAGACAGACTAGACTCTCACGGCTTGTTGCTGGCTATGCAGAGGATGGGGAAGTACTGCCTCCGCTGGTGGGACCTGCTTGTCTTCAGAGCTGGGTGGGAAATTGAGCCAGCTGGGAAGATGCTTGAGAGGCCAGTGAGTGCTTGTGCCAACTTCCTGCAGTAGAGAGTGAGAAAGCTGGGTGAGAATAGGAGGTGAAGGGGGGAGGAAGAGGTTGGTATGGGGTTGATCAAAGGGATTTTGGAAAGGCTTGGGAACATTCCTATGTGTATGGGAGGAAGACCCTTGTGAAGTGAATAGACAAGAATGAAAGAGTCCCAGTTCAAGTTTTTCTCTTGCCTTCCAATCACACAAACATGGCTTTGGAGCATGGCCCTGGCCCATGGGAACCCATGACTCCCAAAGGATGGTGCTGGGGTAGGGTAGGTTCAGGCAGGGCCCTTGAATGCAGGTGTTTCCAAAAGTAACTGTGGTTGAGAACTCGAATTCTGAGATTCACAAACTGCTACCAACCCCCAATGCTTCCGACTGTACAGACGTGCCAAAGCATATCTCACTACAGGATGGGGATTTAGTATTTTGACAGAGCTCTGCTTCAGCCCTCACAGCAGGACATAAGCAAGAGAGAAAGCTGGGCAGAAGAGCTTTGGAGAGATAGGGCTTCTCTCCCTGAGGGGAACATTCGGAAGGACCTTAAGGGATGTCACAGGAGCCACCAGGGGCTGGAGAGAATGAAGACTGGGACAGGACATCTTCACTGGAGGAAGGCTGTAGGGCAAGGCAAGTATCACTGAGCTTTAGTAAAAAAAAAAAAAAGGGGAGCCCTTCTTCAGAATAAAGGGAGCCAGCAGCTATGGGGGCCACCCCTCCTGCTCCTGGATGGAACCAGGTATGGAGCAGGAGGGAGACATCCCTCCAAAAACCTCGGGGTCATGGAAGGCTGTTTTTCTCTCTTCTTGGACCCTTAAGGCCTGGCTGGGAGCCTTCCTTTTGGTATCCCTTCTCTCCGATTAACAAACAAGGTTGCCCTTAAAGGTGGGAAGTTCTTCATGAGACAGGGCTATCAGAAGCCCAGGCACAGACCTGAAGGGAGTGAGGAGGGAGGTCGCAGGAAGTAGTGAGTAGTAGGAGTAGTAGCTCCCCAAGCCCGTAGGGAGATGACAGCTCTGCCTAAGGCCTCAAAATAAGGAGAGCATCAGAGGCAGAAGGCGTCCCTGCCCTGGGCCCATATCCCTTCTCAGAGGGGAGCAGCAAACTCTCCTGCAAGGGAGGTAGGCTTTTTGATGACAAGCAGCATGGCAGAGCAGCACAAACATGGGTCTTAGAATCCGACAGACTGAATCTGAATTCTGTTTGCCATCGACTATCCGGATGACATTGGTCAATTTAACCTCAAAAAACCTCAGTTTTCTTATCTGCAACATGGGGCTAGTACTACCTACCTTGAAGGGTCGCTCAGAACATGAAAGATAAGAGTATGAGAAATATGCCTGGCACACACTAGGCTCTCTACTAAAAGTAGCCTAAAGGCACTTAGTAAATATTTGTTGAATAAATGAAGTAGCTATTTGGTGTGATCTCTGTCTCCTTTGTTTCCCGTCTTTTCCTTTACCTTCTCTCCTAGTCTCATTTTCACTGGGGTCAGCACCCTCACGGAAAACAGGGCTGGTTTATAAAGTTTACCAGCATTCTAGGACAGTGAACGGCTTTCACCCAGGGAGTCTAGTTGAGTCAAAGCCTCAGAAAGTGACCCTTCCCCGACAGGGAGGGTTCTTTGTCTCCACTCACCAGTGGGATCACAAGGATGTCCTAAGCATTTCCACCTAACTTTACACATTGGCTCCCACAGCTCAGAGTGGTTCCTCTTGCCCTCTGTTCACATCAGGAATCTCATGAACCTCCACCAGTTTTCACTTCAGTGTTAGCTGGGTGTCATTCTGTAAAGCAAAGGCCGCCGGCTTGATTCCCAGCCAGGGCACATGCCTGGGTTGTGGGTTTGGTCCCAGGTCAGGGTGCATGGATGAGGCAAATCGACCCATATGTCTCTCTCACATCAATGTTTCTCTCCCTCTCTTTCTCCCTCCTTTCCCCTCTTTCTAAAAATAAATAAAATCTTTTAAAAAATAAGTCCTTCAGAAACAAACTCCCTGGTGGAGTTTGCTCATGCCTCCTAGTGTTAAGTTCTGTCACCCAAAGGAGCAGCATAACTAAATTTTCTTATGGTCAAGGGATGAGTACTTGGAGATCCCTGGAAGCAAGGGCTCCCCAGCTACATAACAAGGCACAAGTTGGGAAGGTTCAATCACGAGTCAACTCTGGTCCCAACCCTGGCCAAAGGGACAGGAATAACAGGTAAAGTTGGGACCAGCTCCCCAAAAGAACAAAGAAAACAGCAAAAATCCTCACATCTTCCTATTTTGGGCGCCAAATCAGAGGGGGCCAAGGGACTAGGAGAAACTAAAGACACCAACCACTTCACTCCTGCCTCTCGAGTCATTTATCAGTGTCCGCAGACCCCGGCGAGCACATCTCTGAGTCTCTGAGCGAGGGTTATCGGAGCTTATGAGGAAGGGCTGGCTCTGGGTGACCACAAACTCACTGAGGGAAAGAATTCAAGGCTGGAAAAGGCAATGAGGAGTCAGCATAAGACCCAGACTGAGGCTGCTTTTCTTCAACAAGTCTGCTGGCCCACGTCACAGCCTCTCATTAAGCATCCACTTGACGCCAGGGAAGTGAAATTGCACAGACCTGGCACCAGAAGGAACAAATGTGGCACCCACTGCTCCTTTTAAGGACTGGCTAGAGGAGCAGCAAGCCCCAGGGAAGGAGGTGAGGCAAACACATCAATACCTTTGTGGGAAGGGGAGGGAGGGTTCTTTCAGGCCTGCCTCCTCCTTAGCAAGCTCTCCAGGGCAAGTTCTGCAACTGTCAGAAATAACCGACAATGTAGGCTTTTTCCTCTTTTCTCACAAACTCTGGCAACACAGCATTTCCTTTCCCCCCAGCAGGGCAGCTAGCTTCAACCAGGAAAGAGCATCAAAAGCCCCCCTTGATAATCATCTGTCAAAACAGAAACACTCTAACTGCATCAGAGGGAGAGGTTGAGCCAGTGGTTCTCAAATTTTAGTGTGCGTCAGAACCACCTGGAAGGCTAGTTAAAACACCGTGGTGGGCTCCATCCCCTGAATTTCTCATTCAGTTGGTCTAAGATGGGGCCCAAGACATGGCACTTCTACCAAGTTCCCAGTTACTGATGCTGACAGTCACGGCACTGGTGTGATGCTTGCTAACTGCCCCTTCACATTTCTTTCCACGCATCAGTTTTTCCCAAAGGGACATTCTTTTGAAAATGTTACCTCATGTGCGTACACTGTACTCTAACTCCCAAGATCTCCAAGCCCTGTCATATCTATTACCTCCATTGGCTCTCATGAAGTCCCATTAAGTTAGGAAAAAAGAGAGGGGTCAAGGGCAAAACCAGTGGCCATTACTGAGTCCTCAAGTCTCCTATTCCCCAAGAGCTTGCTGCCTCCCACCCAGGTCCTCATGACAGTGTGAGCTGTCTATGGATCAGGGCCTGGTTGCTGTGACACAACACAGCCCAGACGGACCGGCATCTGCGAGTACGTGGCCTCCAGGAGAGTGTGAGGAGACCCCAACTCATGACTGCACACTACGGAGGTAGCAGAGAAAGGTATATTTAGAAGGAAATCCTTGGTAATCAACCTAATTGCTTTTTTGGACAAGTTGGTTTTGGGACTTCTGAGGCTCACTTGGCACACTGTAGACACTAAATAAATAGTTCTTGAATTAATGGTAGTGGTTTATGGAAAAAAAAATCTAAGTTAAGTTAGAATCTTATTGCTTTTTAACTGATAAGCTATTGCAAAAACAGATTACTGAAGTTAAGAAAACAGGGCATAACAAGGGTAGAGTCTCGCTGGCATGACTGTAAATTCCTTGAGGGTGAGACCCATGTGGTAATCTTCTGGTCCCTTATGCCTAAAGAGTAGAACAGGGAAGCTGGTTTGTCCCAGTGCCCCTCCCTGACCAGGTGGCTAATGTGCACCACAGGAGCCATGCTGTTTCTGCTTTTAGGATGGAGGGCCTAGTAGAGTCTGGCTGTGTAGTTTAAAAAAAAAATATTTTTTTTTTGTTTTTCTATTTTTAAAATTAGCTTCTGGAGGCAACAAAGAGCCTAACATAGGTTTTCTGGCAGCAGAAACCCACAGACCATGTCAGCAAGTAAAACAGATGTGTCCAAAAAACTGTTGATGGATCAGGCATTTTTATAGCTCAACATTACACCACAGGGCCAGAACAGAGGAGACTGAATGGATCACACATTCTTTGTTGCCTCCATTAAGCACCACATGGAATACAGCTGTGGACTGGTGCCTGGCAAGAACAGGCAGGCCAAGTCCAAGTCCCTCAACTTGGAAAAACCGCGACTTGAACGACCAGTGCCAAATGTGTTTTCCAGTGGTTCTCTTAAGCAATCAATCCACTCCCCTGAACCAGAATATGGGCCGTGGATGCAGGTCCACAAATGGATTATGACAACGACACCACAATGACACAAAGAACGGGCCTATCCAACACAGTGATCAACCAGGTAAGGAGCAACAAACTCAGAGCACCTACTACTGTGCCAGGCACTGGGCTTAGTGCTGGTCCTGTGAAATGAGCAAAGCCATTGTGGTCCCTCCCTTAACCCAGCTGGGCTGGGGGTGGGGTGGGGGGTGGAGTACAGCCCTTGCCCTTTTGTTACTGCACTTGCAATTCCAGAAATACCTCCATTCTCCACAGACAGGAAGGGGAGGACAATTATTACCCCTTTTAAATAGCTGTGGTAGCCCTATCGCTTGGAAGCTGACCTTTCAGTTCCCCTAAAAGAAACATGTAGAAACAAGTAGATGTTCTCCTCTCAGCATTTCAAAACAGGATATAAATACTCAACTAAAGAACACATTATCTTACAATTCTCTGGCGAAAACTGAAAAACAAGGTAGACAGAAAATGGTCTCATACTGTGCGGAAATCTAGAGCTCTTAGGAAGAAAAATATTTCTTATGCTTAAAATTTCAGAGAAACACTTACTTGTATCTCAGCATCCACAGGGGAGAGAAATGATACTGACGCAAACTGAGTATAACGGTCTCAGCAAACTCCTGGCCCCTCACCCTCCAACACTTCACTTTCAAGAGGATTCTCTCTTCCTTCAAACTCAGGCTGTCAGGAAATAAGGCCCATGTGGTAACTTCTAATATAAGCAAACACCTAGAAATGATCCTGGTGGTGCAGGTGAAAAGCAGTTGAAAGAAAGTAACCACCTTTGCACAAACCTTTTCTTCTGGCTCAAAAGCCAATGGACAATTTTGCAGCTAATTTCTAACGCTTGAAAATAAAGCTATTCAGACCACTGCTCCCTACCGACTGGGGCCTCTTCTGTGGAACAGTACTCTTCTCATGGGCCAGCAGGCACCTGCCACACACATTGCTGTATGGGCCCACCGTGTGAAGCCTGGTACAGCTGCAAAAGCCGCTTGTCACCCTCTACAGAAAGGAGGGGCTGACTAGAAGAACCTTGAAACTCTCCCTCCCCTTTTGCTCTGCTTTACCAAGACCTCTCATAGAAACCCACTGTGTAGGCTGAAGAGGGAAATAAATGGTGGACTTTTTCCACGCCTCCCTGCAAACTACAAAGTGATGTAAAAGCGCAGCAGCCACCGCCCCCAGCAGCTCTGAAGTGCAGGCCCCAGGGGGCCCCACCAACACTGGCTTCTTGTTGTGTACTGGGCAGCATTGTCTAGTAACAAACTGAGCTCAACTGCTTGCCATGTATTTTGCAGCATAACTAATCCCCCATTTTTGTGCTTTTCACCCACATGTCTTTTATTGTTTGCTTTAGGAAAAGAGCCTCCCATTTGAGGCAACCTAAAGCTTCTCTCAGCCATTTGGCTTTTTCACCTCCTCTGTTGTAGTCAAAGCTCTGACCAACCACTGCAGACTCCTCGGTGTGTCTTTCCCAGTGTATGCATTTCTTGAGTTATCGAGGGGCCAATGGTTTGTTTAACAGTGAGAACAGTGATGCTCTCAGCCAGCTCAATATTGGCAATAATTCTTAATATGCATGGTGACTAGTCCCTTAGCTTCCTCAGTTAGGCATCTGCTCAGTCCTTTATAGCAGAACTTTTTTCAACCTTTTAAAGCTAGATATCATCACTGTTCTTCCAACCCCATCGTTGCTTCCCGACTAAGACGGATCCTGCCACCCTTCACTAATCAATTCAGTCAAGCCCTCAGGCACAGAGAACAGGAGGGCAATTGTTTTTTCCTCCTATACCTGTTTTATCACCACCCATCCACATCTCAGCCCATTTCCTCTTTCAACCTCTACTGGTTCCCAAAGAAATTTGAAAAGAAAAATGATCCATTTACACAGCTTACATGGAGTTCTTAGAATGTATATTTGTTCACCTGAAAAATAAAACTTTTAAAAAATATACAAGACTTTTCGAGTACAGGTAT